GGCTTTTTCAACTCTAGGATTTCAGATTGATGATGGTGCATTTTTGAAATGTTCATCATGGGTTTTGAATGGGGTTCGGGTGGACCCAAAAGGATGATGAACACCGTCTGTTCAAAGGGGAAAAAAAGCATCAGGAGTTTATGAGGCTCTCCCATGACAGCAAAGATGCTGTGAATTCTCATCACGGTTTATTGAGGCTTTTTTTAACAGCAGCACCTGGATTGATCTTTGGTGTTTTGGTTGAATGAGAAAAAAAAAATGCTTAGCAAGCTAGAGTTTTTGCAACTGTATACCGGCTGACAGCAGGCGGCAACAACAGCGGGCCCCCAGAGGCAGGCGGATCAAAATAGGAACTCGGCCAGTCCGCTGACATTACTTATGTAGAAATCAATAGCCAGGGCCTCCCGGTGCCCTGGATTTATCTTCCTGACATTTTCTATTTGTGACAGATCTGGGTGCCTGTACAATAGAGGTGCTTTAAATGACTGTTTCAGAGGAGAAAACAAGTTCAGTCTAAAACTAGCAGTTCTTTCATTTCAGCTGAAATATGGGTCGCTTGAATAAGTGAACCTAGCACTCATTGCTTTCTGCCACTGGTTTGCGGAGCATCGTTTTCAATCAGAATGATAAGATCTAATTCCAATTGGTGAGTTGAAAATGTAATTGTGATATCAATCATGGTATCAAGGCACAAAGACTTCCATTTCACTTTATAAAAGAAAATATACTTTGTTTTGCAGTTTATACCCTATCTCAGAAAAAAAAGGATTCTATAATTTGACAAGTAAAACTTTAGAGAAACTAAATTTTGAAGATTTTTGTTCATTCAAAAAAAAAAACGATTTCATCATAATTTGTCTTCAATCTCATTTTGAGAAAATTGTATTTTGAACCCGCATTTGTATCAAATCTAGAGTTGATTGTATTGTTACATCCCTAGTTTTGAAGCCTTGAGTTTGTCATTATTGCTGTTGCCATGTTGTTTTTTTACAGCCCACAGTTGGAAAGCACTACAAGTTGAGTTGTGCCCATGGGCTGCGCAGTTCCAGCTTGTCCGTTGCAGAAAACAATGGTCAAAAACACCAAAACACACTAAAATATGTTTCTGAAAAGATTTGAGGGGAGAAATAGGCAACGCAGTTACAGAATCTTGAGCCATATTTGATCAGCACCGCCTAATATGACAGTTTGATCTGAGTTTGGTGCGTTGAGCTGGACTAACTGAGAAGAAGTACTGATAGTGAGACAGAGCAAAATAAAAACTATTTGTGCTTGAGGGTAATGGATGGGTCTAATATTTGTTTTGTCATTATATCAATGAATATTAATTGAGAGCTGAGTGTCTCTGATGGTTTTTTTCCACTCTAAAAAGGATTCATGAAAAGCACTGAATAATTGTACTGTAATTTGATGATGAAATGAAAATGATGAAAATGGTCAGATATAAAAGTTAATGGATGTTGGCACAAAAAAGCATATCAGCAGCTGCAATCCATAAGAGTGTTTTTTCAAAAGTGTCTGTCACACATCAGGTGGGAGGAGGCTCCTCAGTGGCCCCTGGTGTCTGTGCGATTGATGGCTGTGTCACCCCCTCTTTTGGCTGAGATGGAGCTGCCTCTGCTCTGAACCATTGGCCACAGATGGCTTGCTTAATGGCTGAGTCTGTCACTGACATGTGGCAAGGAGAGCAAATAGCAAAAGGTTGCTGTCTAAACTCTACATCTGCAATCAGAGTTGTTAGGAAGCACAAACGCAACCCAACAGAATAAAGTTCTCTAAACCTAACGCTCCCAATATTTGCTCTATTGACAAATTATTAGATATACTTGTTCTTGAAAGACTTTACTAATTTTTTTTAATTTTTCATCTCCTTTTACATTTTCTCATAAGCAAATGTTCAGCTTACTTCATTAAAATTTTATACTACCCTTTGAACCTTATCATGTTAGTTCAACTTTTTCATACCTTTCATGGTTTTTCTGTAACCGCAGAAATGTAATTTTTGTTTTCGTAAAGCTTGAGAGTTGAGCAATTGCCCAAAATGACAGAGATGCACTGATAAAGCACTAAACTTTCATCACAGAAATTAAAGTTCTAAATAAATGATATCCTCTATTCTAATCTCCTGAGAGAAAAACGAACAAATAAAAGGTTTGTCAATGTGCAAATGCGTTTGCCCTTCAGTAGCTTAACCATGAACTGAATGGGTACACTGTATTGAAAATAAATAAAAACTTCAGTTCGGCGTCAGGCTCTGTTTCGATCACTCCCTAAGAACATAAATATTTCAGCCAGCCAAAGCAAGAGCAGAGTGAGATCGATGCAAACCCCAGGGATAAAAGAGAACAAAGCCCACAGGTGGATGCTGGGCTGTAAATGCGGCACAGGAAGGAGCAGCAGCAGGATGGTGAACAATCGGTCGTGACAATCGCAGCCAACAGAGGTGAGCCAGAGTACAGAGCTGCTCAAGATTTGGGACAAAAGTTGAAGCCCTTACTGTCATTTCTTTTATGTCACAACAAATTTTCCTTTTGGCTGTAACAGTCTAAAATACTGTAGTGTTTATTTAGCCTGAACTAGCTCTGCAGACTTTACACCTTCTGTCCTACTTTCTCTGCTTAAATACATTGCTGGCATTGCTGCAGATAAATTATTCTATTCCTTTTTTTCGGCCAGAGATTTCAAGGGTCTGTCCGACAGACATTAACTCAAAGACAAGAGCTTTGTACGTCAATCTACTCATTCAATCCTCCCCTTTAGAGAGAATACAGGCTGCGGTGGCTGATGCAGTACTAATGCAGGATAAATTCAGGACGACCCAACAATGGGAGACTTCAGATAATGCCACTATAAAAATGTGCAGCGTTATCAGTCAACAGAAAACTTCCAACAAATTAAAAGAAAAGTATTGGTGAGGGATATCTGAGAGCACAAAGTAAAGCACAAAGCTGCGAAGTGAATATAAATGACTTGGTCAACTGGAGCCAACAAGCCACGGTAAACAAACAAAGCTCAAGGCTCATCTATTCACATCCACTCTGCTCTCTGTGCTCTCAGGTGTCGGGCTCCAGAACAATCTGAAAATATAATGTTTGCTGTGTTTCTCATTCACTGTGTTTCCCCTGTGATGTTCACTCATTATTCTCACACAACTGCCAATTTGTAAGTAGATTCAAGGTGAGCAGCTGTCAGCGGATTACAGCAGCAGCAGACTTCAATCACCCCAAGGTAAAGAGCAGTCGGTGATTAAATATAAATAACACACGCACAGACACACATAGGCTCGCGATAAACCAGCCAACCACAGCTTGTTGGGCTGATGTTAGTAAGTTGTAATGGCCCCAAAAAACACGACAGGCAACATTTTCATAAACAAGACTAAGAGTAAGACTATGAGGCTGCACTTAGGCACAGTGGTGCTTTGGGGTAAACGCATCATCAGCATGCTGACATGTTCACAGTGACATTTCTAACATGCTAAAGCTTAGCAGTGACATAGTGGCCAAACCATGTGATTACAGCAATGGCATTGGACTTGTCTTTGACTCGACAAAGGTGGTCTTCACTACAGCACTGGCCTCAGGATTATTTTGGGGGGGGTCTTGCAAATGAGCATTGTTGGTCGACAAGACTGGCTAGATAAAAGAAACTCAGAAATCATCAGTACCACAGCACATGCATTGCCATAATGTGCAAAATGGTTGTGAATTCCCACTCGATTGATGGAAGTGATGTATAAATGTCAGACCATGGTGAGTAACTTCCATTCCAGAAAAATCCTGGCATTTTATGCATTATTTGTTGCTCTTTGTCCTCCTTACCAAGACAGGTCTTGTGATTCATGATTTTAATGTCAGGACCACTGGATTGTGTCCATATGGAATCATGTACTGCAGGCCAATACTTGAAGTTTAATGTAGTACATCACGAATAAGTGTATAGAGTATTTTCATTACTTTATTACTTCCATAAATTACTCACTTTCCATGTCATAAACATTCCTATCAGATCTAACAAGCAACGTGTCTTTAGTTGATGAGTTGCATACACATACTGGGATTGTAGAACCGAGGGGGAGAGATTATTCTCCCGGGATACAGGCTGTGTAGAATTCACACATAAAAATGACTGGGGACGTGATTGAAATCACTGAACCATCCCTGTAAAACTAATACATGACCAGACCTGCTCTGGCAAGATTACTGTTCTCTATACAGAAACACTTATTTTCCCAAGGTAAAAAATGTTTGGCTACATCTTCAGTTGATGCTCTACAACTGCTATCAACAAAAAAAAAACCCAATAACCTCCAGAAAATATCAAAGAATTTGTCTAATCACTAAAAGTTGGCTACAATGTCATTTTTATTAAACTGTTCCTTTAAATTTGTAACATGTCCGTCTAAATCACACATCATTTGTTTGCTTCATGAAGTGATTCCTTCAGTTTAGCAATTCTTACTTATATTAGATCTGTTAGCTCAAGTTAATCATTTGTGCCCTCAAATACGTTCACACTGCAAGAACAAAAAAGTACACAGAAGATACTTGGTTACAACAACAACAACCACTGGATTAAATGTGTTCCAGCCTCCATGCTGCTGTATGGATTTGGCCTTTGGGCTCCTGCAGTATATCCTGACCTTACGGCACCTCTGTGTGTAATTGATCTTTCAGAGCACTGAATCAAGACAGTGCACTTGTACACTAATATATACACTAGACAATAATATATCAGACACTGGCAATTGTATTTGTTAGGACTCCAGTGGAAGAGATATGGGGAGAACACACACTGAGTCTGAAGCGAATGCTACATAATTATTTAAAATCAGCTTCGAGGTTCTACTCCACTTCACACGTACATAACAGCCACACCAAACATTGTCAACACATATGGCATCCCGTGTTTTTTTTCCCTTCTCAATAATGAATCCCCTTTGGAGACATTTAGCTCGTCTATCATTTATACCCACAATGCATTTTTAACAGGGGCTATACCTTTGGTTGTGATGGCAGGCTGCTCTCCCAGTAGTAGTTTTAGCCTCTTGGCGTGGATTTTACCCTGGTAGTGTGACTGTGCCACCACGGCTGAGGTGAAGGACATGTTACACAGCGTGCAGCACTTATTCTTGTCCACATCGCCCTCGTCGCTGCCCTAAAGAAACACAGCAACATCTTATCAATGATACATCAAAGAATTCAACTCGGCATATTCATCTATAGGAGCTTTAAAAAAGGATTCAATCAAAGACAGTATGCAGTTCCAGCAAGACAGCTGCACACTGAACACATCACTAGTCTCTACCACTTCTGATTCAGATGAGGGGAGGGGTGCAACACTTCTCCCCTAAAGTGTTTAGACCCTGGTGGGATGCAAATGGAGTCGGCTCTGTCTTGTAACGGGTGATAGTGGGGCCAATACAGCCAATGGTGGACCGCTCTCTGAGCCTCCATCTGTTCAGGCTGCACAGAAAACCCATTATCTTCAGAGAATGTGGAGGACGCAGAGCAACCCGCCATGCACTGAGAGACGAATGCTACTGTTTTTACTCAGAAGCGGGAGGGAGGAGAGGAAAACAGTGCCCTGGCCGCTGGGCAGGCAGGCGAGGTCAAGGAAGGGCTGATATTCAGAGTGAGGAAGAGGAGAGGCAAGTGAACTCCATGACCTCACTCAGATGTCTGTTCCTCCGTCTGGTGCACTCTACCGGATATAGTCAGTGAACAGCGGGCCTGAGTTCGGAGAAATGTGTGTGTGTCTCTCCTCGGTAGAATTATCTCAGCTTGAGACAAACCGAGAAAATGAGCCCATTCACCTTCATGACTTGACAGTTGACTTTGTACTTTATTTTTGCTAGGGATTAGCAAGTACAGCATTATTAGTATCTGTATCTATTCAACCAACAAAACTATCTGTATTCGTAGCCATACCTGGAATGGGCGGGGCTTAAACCGGGTGTAGGTGGTGCTTTGACGGGCAGTGGATGGCCGTACCTGGAAGTTGTTAATAAAGCCTTAAATTGAAATGGATTAGTCGGAAGTTGCTATATTTATTAGAAAACTATTTACAGATTTGGGCTTCACAGCAATGTTTTGCTTATAATTGAAAACCAACTATTTACAGAAGTTTTTTTTCTAATAAAAGTTGCTATATTTACAACGTTTATTGACCCTTATGATTGTGCAAATATATTTACTGATACATCTGGACACATCTTCAGTGATGTTCCTGGAATCATTGGGTGTTTCAAATCTTTCAACATCATGCACCCTCTTCCAGGCGACCCAGCTTAGGCTGATAAGACCCAAGTCTGTGTCCATGATATGATATGATATAATAATATAAACTTTATTTATAAAGCGCCTTTCAAAACCAGAGTAACAAGGTGCTGTACAGAACAAACATTAGCAAAACAATATAAAATAATAAAAACTACATTACAACATTTAAAGTATAAAACAAGAAATAACAACATCAAAAGAACAATAAAACTACAAACAAGAAAGATAAAATATGCTACTTATTATCTGTACCGGGTTCAACCAAGTACTTGCTCAACTATAGTTGTATGTAGCTTTTTGTAGGCCATGACTGATGTGTTGGATGGATTATAGTTTTTAATATTCAGTATTATTAAAGTAAAACAGAAATTGAAATCAATATTTGCTGTTATATGGATTTTGAGTATATGAGGATCAGTTGCTTGCCATCCACATAACAAGGGCTGCACAATTTGGTAAAAACATCATATTGCAGTTATTTTGACAGATACTGTGATTTTATTTATTTTTCACTTAAAAAGCTGACATTTATTGGGGTTTGTACCAAACAAACATGTTTTCTTAAATCTGGAGAATAAGATTTGTGGACCAGGGCATCTCTGCTGAACTAAAGTAGTTCATTATAATGTTTTATCTTTAATAACAAATTGCAGCTTCCTGTGATTTGCATATTGAACTTGGCCACATTGCAATTTCAATAGTATTGCGATTAATAATAAACAGATTTGGAAGGTGTTCACGTCAGATCCTCTGCAACCTGTGTTTGAGGAGTTGACATTTCTTCACAGAAACATCATTTCATCTTTAGATGCTGTTCCAAAAATATGTAAAAAAGAACTTGTATCCCACCTTAAAAATAAAACAGTGGTATTATGATGTTTTTAGCCATGACTCTGGAGGTGGTAATGTTGGTTTGTCGGCCAGTCAGTCGGCCTTTGGTCATGACTGAAATACATCAACCACTACTCAATGTATTGGTATGAAATGTAAAACAGACGTTCATGATCCCCAGAGGATGAAGCCTGACCTTTTCTTTTGCACCCCATACAGTTGGATTGACATTACATTTGCTGCAGACGTCTTTGGTGATACCTTAACAATCACAAATAGTTAAGGATTCTGTGTTTAAGTGTTTGAACAGTTTTACTGCATTAAGTCAAAAAGCCTCTTAAAGCTGCAGTCAGTGACTTTTATAAAATAAACTTTTTGCCATATTTGCTGAAACTTTCACTACACACTGGCAGAAGTACATGAGACAGATAATGTGTGAAAACATCAGGTTCCTCTGGCTCCTCCTAGTGCTCCTAATAGTATCTGTGAAAATCCACCACCTGAACGAAAACAACCAATCAGAGCACAGGAACATGGAAAGACGCCTTTGGTTGGAGGCTTGTTGGTAATGATGATTGATTGTTGAGTCTCATTCCTGAGTCATCAGATATCGACACTGGGAATGAGACTCAACAATCAACTATCTTTCTTGGCTCTGATTGGTTGTTTTCGTTCAGGCCCTGTGGATTCTTGCAAATGCCATTAGAGTCCTACGATGAGCCAGAGAAACCTGATTTTTTTCACAGATTATCTGTTTTATGTACTACTGTCAGGACACAGTGAGGTTTTTTGAAAAAAATAAAAGTTACCCACTGCACCTTTAATCAAGCTTTAAGTGACTGCACCGCTGACTTAAAACATGGCTTTTAAAAGTTGGTAGTTATATCCTTCAAAGACATCAGCAGATTTACTTATCTTCAATTCATGTCAGTTATATTGACTTCTAATGTAATTAAGGTTAATTTACCTCATTTGTTTACTAACTGGTCTAATTCAGTGGTAACACATGTATCTATCTTTGCTGTCAAAAATTACTTGGACAGTAGCCAAATTAATTATAAATGCAAACTTCTGGTTTAAGCCACTGCTTGTACTCATTAAGAATGTGGATGTGAGCCGGGACACAACAGCTGCCAGTTTATAAACTGACTTTATTTTAGAGACTTTTGAACAGCATTTGTTTTTTACTCTGCTCAAACAAAGTGCTAGGTTATTTCAGCACTACTCAATTACTCTCAGCACCACTCAATCACTTTCAATTATCCAGCAGAAGGACACTTTCATTGCATTCATTGCATTAGTCTGCAGTATACAGAGAACATTTTCTTTACTGTCTAGAGGAAGGCACAAATGGACATCATGCAGGCAGAAGAATTAGAATTGGAATTCTTCTGATATGTGCATTTCTTAGTATTTTACATATGAAGGAATGCACTGTGTAATGAATTCAGCAACAGTTGACTCTTTTCAGGGGAAGAAAGACACCTCAAACTTGATTTGTAGGCAAAGTATTTTTAATCGAAAGTTCAGTGCTATGTTTTCACTTGTCGTTTTCATCAGAAATATAACCAGGACTGCAGTCTTCTAACACCTAAACACAAGCTAAAATCCTTGTTTTTGCCTATGTCCAGTGGTTGCACTTTACACCTTACTGCAGTGATGTTCTCCAGGGTGTGTCAGTACACTGAGACCTCCCTGTTGGGTTACAGGTGTGAGAGACTTTAAGCCAGCGCTGTAAAATATTGCTTCTCAGTCTGATATAAGTTATTCTTTGTTTTACTACTGTGTGTGTGCTATCTCCCTTGAACAAAGCACACACTTTCAATCACAGGTGGCCAACTAGCTTAGCTTAACATAAAGACTGTAAATGGGGAAACAGCTAACCTTGCTCTGTCCAAAGGTAACAAAACCCCACTGTATTGGTTGAATGACAATGACTCACAAAACTACATATGATCATTGGATAGTACCAGCGGCCGGCGTCTGGAACTTGTAACTCCTTTACTTGCCGGTACACTTTTCAATATGTAAAAGTAGTAGATATACTCACTAAAACTATCCATCTATCCCTACCACTTCCTACACTAAACTGTCAAACAATATGACAAGGCCACTGCTCTGGTATACAAACTGTACACAGAGATAGTCAAGCCACTGACCAACCTTGTTCCAACAATGTAACCGAGGGGAGAAATGCATAACATTTCCTAAATGGAACGCTCTATGAAATTGGAAAAACCCAACAGCGTTGTTTATGCTTTGATACACTGGATCAAAGCAGCATTGATTGACTGAGCTACAGGCCCTGACTGTATGTGACCGGACAGGATAATTATATTCCAGTAGTGCAAAATGTTTACTTTGAAAGCATTTGCATACAGTCACATAGAATGCACAAACTGTTCGCATCTGTAAAAGTCTGCAACTTCATCTGCTCTTCATCAGCCACTGTTTTCCACATCTTTAAGTACCAATCATCCCAGTGGAGCGACATGTGACTTTTCACCAAGACCCCACATAAACATTCAGCTTGATAAGCCAACATGTGTCCATAACCACAATATATTTCATGTAACACTTACACTAATGAGGCAATTAAGCTAATTAACGGTTTAATGATGAAAACTGCAAGCAGGATTGGATGGATTGAAGCAGCAGCTTACACAGGTGGGTGAAATCACCTCTTGCCTTCCTTTTGAAAGTGTTGACCTCCACGTCACAGTGCTCTGCTTTGTCATGATGGAAGAGAACTGTTTGGCTCAACACAAACGCTTCTCCCAAGAGGAAACTAATGTCATTGTGTGGGAGGTTCGGAATCGCAGTGAGCAAACATGCAGCTGTCTAAATAAGCAGAGGGCAGAGGATGTTAAAGCAGTTTAGGAGGGGATGATACGATTGGTTAATGTGTTACTGTGCTTGTGTCAAAATCAAATTGGCCAATGCATCATCCACAAAAAGCGGCAGTGAGCTTTTGAATCACAGTAGTAGTAGAACACTGTGCGCCTTATACCAACTGCTTTATACCTGGTCTCAGGAGATCTTCGA